GAGAGATAGACAGACATGACACAAACTAAATAATCAAATGTAACAGTAACAAAGATAAACATCAGTAGATACATTTTCACTTCTGCCTCTGACTACTAAGACTAAAGCAGTCCTCATCAGCTGTGTTCAAACTCTGCAAGTAAGAAATCTGAACTTTATTTAAGTTTTGGTTCCTCAAATAAGATTGTTACTTAATATCTCCCACTTATGACTAAAAGAGTTACAGTTGTGTACATTTTACACAGTTTGTGTCTTTCAGGATTGCTGATCTGTTTAACAATAATTTTACATAATACTCCATGTAATATTGGTAGCATGATTCTCATTGATTTTTCCTCACATGTTTTTCTTATTGATGTAAGTGTATAAGCTGGTTATAGAGTTTGGTAGTGTTCACTGAAGTCATATTACAGAGATAGTGTTGATAAAATGCACAACTAAGTTAGGCTAAAAAAAAACCTAACAAAAAAAAGATCTGATCATTCATTAGATGCTACAAAAGAATTTTGATGTTTTTGAAAATTTCATTAATACATTTCATTGTAAATACTGTGACTTTAACAAGAGACGTGTATTACTATGGTTTTTATAAATTTGCTTTTTGGATATTATCGTTATCTTGTACAACATGCACGTATTTGAGGGAAAGAGGATGACTGTGTGGCATCACTTGCACAATTGTGGTACAAAACAGTATTTCAGTCTAATGTACGTGAACTATGCCCAGTATAGAAAATATTAAGCAGAGATACAAATAGTAAGTATCAAAAATGTTCAATTTCTTTCTTTATATAATTTGACTGTATAATGAAAGAAGAGCGCAGTTAATGCGGAGTCATTTCTTTGTGGTGACTGTGTCCAACACTTAAACACCAACTTAAATAAGGCCATTTTAAACTACTTTTACCATATTAATGGAGGTTCAGAATGTGTCTTTTCTCAGAGGATCACACAGTTTAATTCCAACGTGTCTGTATAGTTTTATCTCTGTTTCAAATTCATTCTTTTATTGTCTGCACCTTTAAATGCAAATGAGCTCCAGCCAGTTTCACAATGAAGTCCCTCCTATCTCCTTTTCCTACCTCCTTTTTAATGACCTTGATTATGTTTTCAGTAATAAATGGCAATGTAATGTAATGTACTGCATTAATCTTCTTAAAAGTAAGTTTGTATGTTCCAGTATGTTACTTAATTACTCACCAGAGAAAATAATTAATTACATTACGTTCTCATTACTCAATAAAATGACATGAAAAACATTGTCTCATAAGTTAACAATATGAACATGAAGCTACAGTCACGCACACCAACACAAATACTTATACTAATGAGGACACAAATAGGATCTTTCTTTTAGTGTTTACATATGAGCACAAAGCAGACAACACAAAGCACAGATGACAGCTGGCCTAAAGACACTTAAAAGTGATTTTCACAGTGATTCTACTTTAAAAACAAGAACATACACGGAGGCTGCAGCCTGACTGCTCATCACTGTGTTATCATCACTCTTGGTTCTTGGCTAGCTTTGCGTTAGTATGCTGTATGTAAAGATCCTGGCAAAGAGCTGAGGTTGTGTTAGCAGTATAATGTGGTTGTTTCTGTACTGGATGCTGTTTGCACTTTACCATTGCATTTTTATCCTTTAGTGCATTAAAAATGAAAGTAATATTCATATCTCCACTCCTGAAAAGCTGTATCACTATACCACTGCAACATTTTCCTTTTCTCGAACACATACTGAAATTTCCTGCTTGTTCCCCTGATGCCCAGGAAGAAAAGAGTTTGATCTTTTTTTTTCTTTTTATGGCATACAGATACCTGAAGTACCTTTAATTCTGGCATCATGGCATACGTATGTGTTTGCAAGAGTTTCCCTTTGACAAGGATCAAATCTGAATGCATTATGCATGGGTGATTTACTAATACTTGTAGCATGCAATTTAGTACAAATAAATGTAATGCTGAAGAAAGCAGTAACTTGACCCAGCGTTCTCAGTTTTTTTTTTTATTCTGTATGGTTCCTAGGTTGTTCTGTTTAGTTTATTAGATTCCCCCTTTCATCTTTGCCCTCTGTCTCCCTCTGTGTGTCTGTTTATTTTATTGTGAGTTCTTATGCCTTGTTTCCCTCCTTGTGTTTCCCCAGCCCGTCAGGTCTGTGCTCTCCCCGTATTCTCTCTCCCCCTCGTGTCTGCATCTCTGTCTTCCTGTTTTACTTTGATAGTCTCCCGTCAGTGTACGTCACCTTGTGTTTGCTCCTGCTCTATCTTGTTACCATTATCTGTGTCAGCTGGGTTCCCCGTGTGCTCCCACGTCCCTCGTTTCCTTGAGTGTATTTATGTCCGGGTCTCCCTCAGTTCTGTGTCGCATCCTCCCTCTTGGCTGTGTTTCCTGATGTGTCTTTTCGCATTATTAGTTATTAATTTTCCAGTTTAGTTTTGTACCACCTTTTTTCCCATTCAGCGAATATAGCTGCATTTTGGGTCGAAATCCAGTGTTCCACCTGCACACAGCCAATTTATGAAAAGAATGGTAGCATTTTATAAACTTCAAGACAGATGTCAACTTTACTGTGACGTCAAAATGTTCTGCAAAAACCCAAATTTCTTAAGAACAGAAAGAGCAGTTGTGACCTTTTGTGACACAGATACTGAATTCCTTCAAAGTCTTCGGTTTAAATTATATTTGTTTTTGTCTGTGGACAGACATGGATGCAAACTCTAATTTGACTGGTTGGTAGACAAACATCCATGAGTGGGGTTTTTTGTTTTTTTCTTCCTTTGTTTCTATATGTGGTTGAAGAACATTCTATGGTCACTGTCATGCCATGTTTATTTCCCCTTTCACTGCAGCAGCTTTGCTTCTCTAAACTGAAGAAACCACCTTTGTGCAGAACAGCTTTTTCCTTTGAGGAGTTGTTGTTGTCTTCTTTTCATTTGCACTATAGATTCTTTTTACACGACTAATGATAGGGCATGGTTGGAACATTATTTGCTTAACATGAGAAGTATAATTTTAATCTCTTGTAACGGGTTTTAATGGTTACATCCTACAGTTTATGTTAAACAATAACAACAATAATGGGCGGTGCTACCAATCGGAGGAGCATCTTCATGTGGATTTCTAAAGGTCTGAATTGATTTTTAGATTTAATGGATCAGGCCAATGACGTAACCTTTTTAACACTTTTTTAACCAAATATAATCTCCATAGCAGAGACTAGACTACTGTTTACCTAATTATAGATGAATAAACTGGAATAATTACGTTGTTAACCCTTGGTAAGTTGTTGCCAAAGCAGAAGTCAAATATCTTCAAAGGTTTAGGTCTGAGGAATAAATCTCACCATAAACACCACCTGGTACCATTTCTGGAGTTTTAGACTTTGCTGATGGTATTTGCCTAATGTTGCTGAATTGTGTGGGGTTTTTTTTCGTTTTTTGCATAGTTATATTACATTGACCTTTGCCACTGTTTAAACTTAACTATTCCTCAGATGCCTTAAAATATAATTCAACCATGCACAACAGTAGTTAAATGTAAAAATAAAAATAGATAAACATGGAAGTTCCAGGTGGTGGAAGACTGAGTGAGGCTGGCTATGAATTGGGACCTGTCCAGACCTGTTCTAGCTCCTGCTTCCAATGAGCTGTGCATTTAGCCCTGGGCCTTCCGGTGTGCTGTGTGAACGTGTTTCTAGGCTGAGAAGAGCTTGGCTGTGTTGTATATATTGTAAATAGCTTAAATAGACCCTTTTTTTTGTTGATCTGGTAGCTGTAGGGGTGGGAAGTCGTTTTCTTCTAGTACATTTGGGGATTCTCATTATAGGTAAGGCAGTTCTGTTTCATTTCTAGAGTGTTTTGTTTGTTGTTTTTGCTATGCCCACCCTGACACTTGCTACCTTTTGAGTTTAATAAAAACCTGGTTGTTGTAAACCGTAATCCTGTGGCAGCGTTCGTTTTTCCTTGGCAGCAGGGAGTGTGGCCATTTTAACTTTCCTTCTTTTCTTTTTCTTTTTTGTGTTGTGCTCCGGTATCCCACACGGCTCAGACCTGTAGATACAGGTCTGCGTTATCATGCACAGCTACTCTTCCAGAGTTCAGGAATAAAAAGTATCTTATTATAACAGTATCACCAGGCTAATGTATCCCTTGAGATTAGGAGCATTAGCTTATAGATTTTGGCAAAATAAATTCATGTAAACTTTTGCTTATATAAACTGATTTGGCCTTGCCTGAAATTATTTCTAAGATAATAATCCATTAAGATGACTTGCACTCCCAGATTTACCTCTTCTGTTAGGCTTCAGTCAATTATCTGTTTGTTTGTTTGTTTGTTAGTCAGGAAGTATGATACTATAGAATGACATATGAGGAAATCCTATGATTTTGTGCTCAGTGTCAGATCAGGAGTTACATGGTTATTAATATTTAGAATTTTCTTTTCAATTCTCTTTTTTCCAGCAACGTAATGTCTTCCAATGCATCTCTGTCCACCAAGGACAATGATGACATCATCATAAGCAACATCAACTTTGTCCTCTACACAGTGACCGTTGTGCTCGGCATCACAGGAAACGCTGTGGTGATCTGGATGGCTGGAATCAAACTTAAGGTGAATACAGAGTGTTTTAAATATCTAATTTTGTTTGTCAGTAATATCTTCTGTGTCTCAGTGAAAACGCCAAAACGCGGCAAATCCCCGTTAGCGAGTTAACGTGGATCGGCCCAGGCGCCAACGCATTAACGCGCTAATGCGTTGGCGCCCAGGCCGATCCACGTTAACTCGCTAACGGGGATTTGCCACGTTAAAGCGGTTATGATGTTAACGTTGTATTAACGAGATTAACGCTGACAACACTACTTACATGTAAATGCAGAAACAAGAATATGTCAAACACTATACTCATGGAAACACACTCAGTGACAAGTTTATCTGACACTTAATAGAGTTGAAAACATCGCATTTTTATGCTTAAAAAATGCTGTACAAAACTCTGTTAAAAAAAGAAAAAGCAAGTAATAAGAATCCTGTAAGTCTTTAATGTGAATATCATGACTAAGTACAGTACAGTATATCTAATTTAAAACCCAGAATAAGGCCATATGTTCTTGAAAAAACAACATCATTAACATAAGTGGTTGCTAGTAACTAAGACTTATGAATAGTATTGTGCAAAAGTCTTGAGTCAAACTTAATTTCTTTATGTACAGTATACAATACATCTGGAAAGTTTTTACAGCCCTTCACTTGTTCCCTAATTGCCCATGTTTCAGCCTAATTACACAGTAGATTAAAGTAATTTTTCATGTCAAAATTCTAAACGAAAAACCACATAATGACAAAAAGTGTGCTTGAAATTGCCAGGATCCTGGCACAAGCATTTATTCAGCTTAGCAGGCAAATTCCAGGCTGATAGATGTCAGTGACTTTGCTTCTCATCTGTTCTTGAGTTCCTTTAGATCAGGGGTGTCCAACTCCAGGCCTCAAGTGCCAGTGTCCTGCATCTTTTAGATATTACCCTGGGTCCACACACATGAATCAAATGATTAGTTCCTTATCAGGCCTCTGGACAACTTCAAGACAAGTTGAGGAGGTAATTTAGCCAATTAAATCAGCTCTGTTGGATCAAGGACACATCTAAAACCTGCAGCACACCTGTCCCAGAGGCCTGGAGTTGGACACCCCTGCTTTTGATAATGGCATGTGATGCTGTCTGACATCTTTTAGGCTACTTAACTTTGTCAGGTAGATTCTATTTAAGTGATTTTATACATGTTTTGCATGTCATTACCCTGCATGGACGTCTAAAACTAACACATGAGTTAGGGTACGTTTTTATTGTGCTATGAAGTTCCTTTTATATCCGCAAGAGCAACCTAAGTTTATGTGCTCTGGGAACTGGGTTTGGGCTAAAACACACCGTTTTACAAAGTGACATAATTGCTATTTAACAATATTAGTTGACACCAGATTTTACATCCACTTATTCACATGATCACTAGATGTGTGCATAATGCATGCTGCTCTGTTTATTGATAAATTGATAATGACTGTTTGGGGGGATAATAATATCAATGTCTGGTTACTTGCGTCATGTAAATAATATATTATTTTACTTTGTCTCTTCTGTCTCTTCAGCCAGCAGTCAACAATGTGTGGCTGGTGAATCTGGCGATAGCAGATCTGATTTTCTGCTTCACACGAATCTTCTCCATCATCCAGATGAAGTTAGAACGGTGGCCTTTTGGTCTCTTTCTCTGCCAGTTTCATGGTTTGTTCAAACACACCAACATGTTCTGCTCTGTCTTCCTGCTGGCTGTGATCAGTCTGGATCGAGTGCTTTGTGTCCGTCAGCCCATCCTCACGAAGCGTCGACGCACCCTCTTCGCAGCGAGGGTGGTGGCAGTCTGTGTCTGGATTATAGCGCTTCTCTTCAGTATTCCTTTCTTCACCTTCCGCAAAATCTACATGGACAACAACAACCAAACTAAGTGTAAAATGGTGTGGGTGGAGAAGCCAAAGGAAAACAAAAACACCAAAGTTGCTCTCTACTCCATGCAATTCATATTCAGCTTCATATTTCCCTTTGTGGTCATTCTCATCTGTTACATCCTGGTTGGCCTGGGCCTCCGACGCACTCGTCTGTCAGGGAAATCTCGGCCCCTTCGTATATTAGTATGTTTGGTCATTGCCTTCTTCCTGTGCTGGGCACCTTATCAGTGCCTTCTATTAGTAGACATTGTGTATAATGAAAACAAAGTGGTGAAAAAGTGTTACTCTATAACAAAGAGCATTGCTTACTTTAACAGCTGTGTGAACCCGTTGTTATATTTCTGTATGGGGCTAAAAGTCAAGGAGGGGTTTAGACAGAAACTCATGAGAGTTTATAAAAGGGCTCTGAGAGATGATATGGATGGCCAGATGGCTCAGCCAACTGATCCCTCTTTGGATTAAAGCTCTGGGTTAAAACAGAGAGTAGGCGGAAAAGAGTGGATGTAAGTAAATTTTACCTTTCCCAAGAAAAATACATGTCCTTATACATAACCATTAATATAATATTGAAATGCTGAAATAATTTTTTGCTTCCATTATATGATCAAAACCAGTATTTCAGAGTGAAACATAAAAGGTGGGAAGACTACAGTAATGATAATCGGTCAAATTAAAAGATTTATCAACAAAGGCTCAACAAAACAGATGTGTGAACTCCTACCTTTCACTAAATCTGTTTCACCATCACTATACTTAAAGTCAAGTCTTAAGAACAGTGATAATTTGTTTGTTGTTTATTTATTTATAATACCTGGAAAATTCATATTGACACCAGAAAATTCACCCTCAATCATTACGTCATATTTTACATATTGTATATTATGTTTTTTACTTTTGCTTTTTTCTTTTGTTTATCTATAATTACCTAATTATAGATAAACTGGAATACTTAGAGTTGTTAACCCTTGGTAAGTTGTTGCCAAAGCAGAAGTCAAATATCTTCAAAGATTTAGGTCTGAGGAATAAATCTCACCATAAACACCACCTGGTACCATTTCTGGAGTTTTAGACTTTGCTGATGGTATTTGCCTAATGTTGCTGAATTGTGTGGGGTTTTTTTCGTTTTTTGCATAGTTATATTACATTGACCTTTGCCACTGTTTAAGCTTAACTAACCCCAGCATTAGCTTATAGATTTTGGCAAAATAAGTTCATGAAAACTTTTGCTTATATAAACTGATTTGGCCTTGCCTGAAATTATTTCTAAGATAATAATCTATTAAGATGACTTGCACTCCCAGATTTACCTCTTCTGTTAGGCTTCAGTCAATTATCTGTTTGTTTGTTTGTTTGTTTGTTAGTCAGGAAGTATGATACTATAGAATGACATATGAGGAAATCCTATGATTTTGTACTCAGTGTCAGATCAGGAGTTACATGGTTATTAATATTTAGAATTTTCTTTTCAGTTCTCTTTTTTCCAGCAACGTAATGTCTTCCAATGCATCTCTGTCCACCAAGGACAATGATGACATCATCATTAGCAACATCAACTTCTTCAGTCTCAGCTGACAGCAGGTTTCCCCAACTTCATAAAACTCATAAAATTTTATAGTGGTAAAAAAAAAAAAAATACTATGAAGATAAAAGCTCCTACTTACCTACAATGAAAAAAAGAAACAAGAAAAAAAGTGTTTACTTGTAGCTTAAATGCCTTTTTTATTTTAGAACCCCATGTTACACTCAATTAAAAATGGCATATTATGTAATCAACTTTTCAACCAAAATACCAGATGGACTTTTCAGACCATTACAGGAAGCTTTGAAAAATATAGAGCACATTTATTTACATGTGTTTATGCCTGGCCTGAGTGTATACTGTATAAATAATTCCGCACCCAGCTATCTTACTGATCTCCTCAGCTTTTATACCACTGGGAGAGCGCTTACATCAGCAGGCCAAAAGCTCCTGACCTTGGCTTAAGACCACAGGTGACCACGCATTCGCCTCTGTTGGACCCTACCCTCTGGAATAATCTCCCCGAAACTATTTGCGTGTCTATTTCAATTCAATGTTTTAAATCTCAATTAAAAACTTATTTAGTGTAGCCTTCCCGGCTTCCTAGAGCCCGCATTTTGTAAGTGTGATTTAACCTACAGCCTTTTGGCTTGTGCCTACAATGCCTGGTGTTAGTTGTGTCTCCCACCTGTCAGTCTATTTGTATCTGTTATTGATCTTAATTGGTTCTGTGAAGCACTTTGGCATACCTCTGTTTTTTTTGTGCTATATAAATTGTAATGTATTGTATTATATTTAACCTCACAGGACTTTTAAGATCTCTTTTAAGATCTCAACTATCATTGTCTTACAAAAGGGAGTCTATGTATACATCTGACAAGATGATACTGCTAATCTTCTTGCAGAGATTTATCTCCAGTGGAGGACATATAAGAAGGTACATCCCTTCCTATCTCTGTCCAGGTGTTCCACAGGTTTCACAAAACTTTGTCGAGTAAGGTCAAAGTAAAGTTTTATAACATGTTAACATTTAACATGATGTATCTTTTTTTTTCACCAACTGTTGTATAGTTCCCAATACATAAATTTTTTATACACACAAAATAAAGACAATTTATAAAAATTCTAGATATTTAAATATTTTGTTAAACATTGATCAACACTGCAACATATATTTGCCATTATAGTAAAAAGGAAATTCCTTTCTAAATGTAATAATCTGTTCTGATTGTAATAATCCATTGTGATTTTAATAACTTGGAAAAACCCTGGAAACTGTGGCGAACAGAGCTCAGTCGATCCAAGTTGGTACCATATTTTTCGGACTATAAGGCACACTTAAAATCCTTTAATTTTCTCAAATTGACAGTGTGCCTTATGATTGAAGTCTGGTTGTGCTTACTGACCTCGAACCGATTTTGTGTGGTACACGGTGCTCGAAAATCAAAAATCTGTCAAAAAATGTTTTAATATGACTCTGGTAAACTGCGAAGCTGCACTGCTTGATGGATTGTTGGAGTATTACCACTGTCGTAGTCAAGAGTTAGCTCGCTAGTATCCACCTAAACATGATATACAGTGGTCCCTCGCTATAACGCAGTTCACTTTTCACGGCCTCGCTGTTTCGTGGATTTTTTTGTGTGCAATTTTTCTTTCTTTTTTTTTTTTACAGCGCATTGTGTTCTGCATCCTGATCGTCTGTAGACCACTGTCAATCAATCTCATGTACAGTACAGAATGCATTCAGCGTGTCAAACTTCCACAAATCTTTGATCGCTAGCAGTGTCAATCTGAAGTGCTGTACTGTATGTTTGTTTTCTCCCCAACAAACACAACAATGTCAGCTAAACGTTTTGCAACGTCAAAGGCACCTGCGGTAGCACCCGAAAGGCAGGGTGAGATGCTAACCATAAGGCACACCGGATTTTTATACTACATCTGCTTTCTGGTGACCTCTGACTCAACATCGCTGTCCTCAATCTCAAAGTCCTCCATGGAGCTGTAGCTTGAGTCTGCATTAGAGCTGGAGCTATGCTGGAAGGCAATTGAACAAACATTAGCACAAAAAATTATTTCTGTACAGTTAAAAGAATACAAATAATCTGTCTATGTAATAAAGTTGCAAATACCCTTTTGCTTTGCAGGTATGACTTCTGTTTTTCAAGTTTCTTTATCGCTTTGGGTTCTGTGTCCACAATGGCTACATAAGGTATGAGGGTGTGAATCCTGAACACAATGAACACAAAATAAGAATGTTAGATTCTCTTGGTGAGTATCAAAACACTGCGATTTGATGTCAGAGGTCACCTGTGGTATAGCATCGCAAAGAACTGGATCACAACTGAAACTGCAAATCCCAAAATAAACATGAAGGCAGTTGGATCAATTTGGATATCATCTCCAAGTAACAGCGCTTTCAACCTGGAATCATAAGACATAAATGGTGCCCATTCTTGATAACACATCTTCCAACACTTACTTTGTTTCTCAGCTCTCGCAGCTCATTGGCCATCTTTTTCTGTTTTTCTTTGTCATCAGGCAGAGGTTCAAGATACTTCTTTTGAAGTTCTTCCCAGAATTTCTTTTCCTCCTGGAAAAGTTAGAAATATTTTTAAGGTGTTTAAAGCTAAATAAATAGCAACAAAAGCTTTAGAGGAAAATAATATGTTCATTAATGGAACATATCTATAGCTTGTAAAGTGCCATGAATTAAAGACATTTTTGGGGGGCAAGGTAAGCATTTCTGCATGTTAATGAACAGTAATTATTACCCAAACACATAAATATCATACTATACATAAGACCATCATCATTTTGGGGAGTATGGGAGTAATGATAAATTCTAGACAGAGGTCATTTAAGCAAGGCAAAGGAATTAATCAATAACACATGCACACCTGGTCGAGTAAGTCCTCTTGAAATGTCAGGTCACTCGACAAACTCTGGAGCTTTTCAATCCAGCCTGCTGAAAACAGCAAGGCAAAAATTATTTAATTGCAGTATATTTGTCTGATTTTAAAAACAAGCAAAAAAACTTTGCCAGGGTGTGGTTTGTGTCTCAGCTTCAATCTCATTGAGATTGTGAGACACGCCCATGTTCCCTAAACATAAAAGGCAAATTGTTCAAAGAAAATTGGCTGAAATTGTAAAGCTGGGAGTAATAGAAGAGTCACACATTAGCTATGTCCCAATTCCTAGGCCGCATCCTTTGAAGGACCAGGCTTTCGCGGTCTATGGGGGCCGGGTCCTCCGAAGGCCGGAAGTGCGAGGTTGTGAAATGGGACGATCTCCTTCAGATTTGCATCCCCAGCTGTCTCAGTAGAGTTTAATAAACTCAGCCGTCTACTCCTTGCTCACTAAAATATAAAAGGACATTGGAGTAAATTCTCTACCATCTCACACTTCTGTTTAATCAGCTTGACATTTATTCAGCTGTGTGAACTTTAATCTCAGCCAAACCGATTTACTCAGGAACAAATAAAACCCTGAAAAAAGACTAACAATAATATTTTTAAGCTATCTAAGTGACTTATATATCATGTTTAACCTGAATAGCAAAGGCTTGCGGGGAGTTTCAAAATGATGTGCCAGGAGTTTGCTGTTCTCAATGGCTCTAGTGAGGCTTAAACCCCCGGCTAACTATCGAAGTGGTGGTTAACAGATGTTTCCGAAAACGTTGGAGCACTTTTGCAAAAATGTGATGTCTTGATAAATTGAGCAAATATTTGAAGTTTACACAGTTACATTCTTGCCTGAAAATATCTTAAAAGTTTATTTTGTGACTCAGAAAGAGTAATATTAAAACTAAGTAGCTACCACCGTTGTTGGAAACTGGAATTGGCTGGGCCGCGCAATGAATTTTGGGATAGGATGGGGCACAAAGGATACACCCGAGCCATCCTTCAAATCGAGGGAAATGAAGGACGTATTTGTCGGCCCCATTTGGAGCAGCCTTTGAATTGGGACAGCCTTCATGGCCTGGCTGTGACATTATTGGCCTCCAAATGCGGCCTTTGAAGGATGTGGCCTAGGAATTGGGACATAGCTAGTGTGTGGTGTAGCCCCATAGTTCTCGTAGTGAAGAAAGATGGGTCTATACAATTCTTTGTAGACTACAGCAAGAATGAGGTGTCACAATTTGATTCCTGTCCCATGCCCTGCATTGAGAGCTCCTGAACCCGTTAAGCACGATGATGATGATCCAATTGGTAAAGTAAAGCCACTTGGCATCTTTCTTGGCAAAAAAAAAAGAGTAGCAGGTGAGCTGCACAGCTGTATAGCGTTTTTTGTTTTTGTTTGTTTGTTTGTTTTTTACAACCGGTAGGCGACGAAGTAACAACTGATTAAGGTCAACTTCCAATTACAACAGTAAATGAAAGGAAATAAAGTTTTATGGGTACGTTAATGGTATGCCAGTCTTTTGCTTGCATGATGATTAGTGTAAATAACATCTGCAGAATGTAGGTTAGATATTTTAAAGAGAAACACATTTATGCCACTCCTTTGATAAATCAGTCAGTGAACAGTCAGTGAATGTATTCCTTTTTTTTTTTTTGCCTGTCCTGTTTGGATCTTTAGCCATCAGAATTGTTGTCTGAAAGCCAAGAAAGATGACAAGTGGATTTACTTTACCAAGTGGATCATCATGGCCTTGCCATATTGGTCCATTTGATTGACCTTTATTATAATTATGTATTTATTGTATTTTCGTTTTTTAAAGACGGGACAGACATGACTGGGGGAGAGGACAGGGAGTAAGAATGAAAGAAAGAGAGGGAGAAGAGAAAAAAAGAAAAACAAACAAAACACCTGGATCACCTGTATGGAGATAAAAAAAAAACAGAAGAGAAAGCAAACAAAAAGAGCAACATAATAAAAACAACACCATCACAATAAACTAGCTAACAGTAGATACTAAATATTACATCTTATTGTGTTTTGTTTTGTTTTCCTTTTTTAATTTCACCTGTTGAGAATGAAAAAGGAAACAAGCAGAAGAAAATGAGAGCAACATAATAAACAACATCATGATGATCTATGGGAATATAACAGTAAATACTAAATGTTAAACATTATTGTGCAGCTCATAAGATCAACAGAACACAGTGTGCTTTGAGGTAGGAGCCAAAAAGGGTGTAGTTTGTGTGTGTGATCACCCGTGTGTACACCTGTGAGCATGGACACGCTGGTTTTTAAAAGGTTCCTTCATGTAATGATCTCTGGCCACAGCCCCGTCCTCCAGGGCATGAAGCCGGTATGGAGGAGATTAAAACTCCAGACATCCAGAGGCCCTCAGAACACAAGAGACCAAGGAAGACCAACAGAGGGGCAGCCGCGCCACTGTCCCAGAAAGAGCTGAGGAGAGTCCCAGATGAGGGCTCACTCAGCAGCCGCGGAGCAGAAGCCAGGGGGGGTTGCAGTGACGTGCCCGTGAGCTCCGCCGGCAGCCAGCCGTGCCAGAGTGACCGAGCCCCAGGCCGAGAGGCTGGGGGCACCCCACCCCCAAAGTGGCTCGAGCGAGCCCCAGGCTCCAGGCCCCAATAAGCGGCCGCCAAGAAGTGAGCCGGTGTGTACCTGGACGCCCATCCCCAGACACAAAGAACCACCAACGCACCGATGTCTGAGGGCGTCAGTGAATGTATTCCTAATCTAAAACTGCAATTGGAGATAATGGATTTCGATAGTGGTTATCAGTTTCGACTGTTTAGCCCGGCTATCTGCTTCGGGCTCACATGTCACGTGACACCAAGGCACATGCACAAACTGATCCCTGTGAGTGCCTCCCACACCAATCTGAGATGTTATTCAATAATAAAATGGTCATAAACATCTTACACATAAAAATCTATAAGAACATAAAATTCAACACACTCTGCGTCTCTGTTTATTTACAGTGTGATGCCAACAGATTAGAATTCTGAAACTGGAATTATTTATACATTAAATTGCTGTCCTACAGCCTAACAAAGGATTCACTTTATTAGGCTCGAAATCACTTCAGAGCAAAGTGATTTTAATTTTACTGATTGAACAGGTATTCTCTGTGTCTTCAGTGTTCTACTAGCTGCAATACCAGCATTGTAAAAGAGACTTGGCACCAGATTACATAATATATATAAAAAATAAATCGACATTTTCTGCATCACCAAATTAATACATACAAATTCTAGCAATGCAGGCACAGTTTGCATTGCTGTAAAATTGCAGCTGGGCTTCATTCTTTATGTTAGTAACTTACATCTTAACAAGGTGCACAAATAAAACATATAGCCACAGCAGATAATCCAAATTTATATCACACTTATTATATGCCATAAATTAAAAAAAACTTCTAGATGAGCCAAAACTCAGAACATAACCGTATTCTGACCAAGTTTTGTGTTCAGCATAAGTTACCATTGTGATTTATCCAGGCAGAAATAAAATAATTTTTGTACCACAGAAAATTCTTGACTTTAAGATCAACACCTTGCTTTGTAGCAGAGCCCTCACACCAAGACAGCCTGTGTAGAGTAGGATGACTGAATTAATCAGCACAGAGCTAAATGTCATGTCGCATTGTGACCTTATTCTTGTTTAAAGCTACCAGTTGTATAAAGATCAATAATTTTTTCACAGATTTCGTAGGTTTGCGTGCATCAACAGGCTCAGTTTGTTTTTGTTTCTAGCTTTTCCTTGTTTTAAAACTGCATTTTACGAAAAGTTGTTTGAAGGTCGTGGAGCAGGAAAGACCAGATTAGATCAGCTAAGTAGGTCAGGTGGGAGTGACCTGTTTGATTGGTACGGTTTGGCTACACAACAGAGTTGATCAAATCTAGTGGCAAATCGCAGAGCAGCCATATAAAAAATGTTTATTTTGCCAAACAACTTGCCTTCTGAGTCTATAGTGAATTCTAAAATAACTAAATAAATAATTGCGATTAGCCATTTTGCCTAAACATGGTTAAATCTGGAGATTATGGTCTAAGGAGCTTGGAAAGAAAGTGACTGAACCCTCATCCAGGATTATTTTCTTATAAAGCCAAATGGCCTATTGGCCGTGCACCTCACCACACACACCAAGGTGTGGAAAAAGGCGTGGGTCATTCTCAGCAGAGGTTTTGGTTGAAATCATTGTGAAACCTTGGAGGTTCTCAGTCATCTAGGTCAGATTGTTCTGCCACTATCTACAACTCTTGTGAAATAAAAAAAATAAAAAAATAAAGCCACAAACACACAAGTGTGTTGCTTCACAAGTCTAGCAAATGTCCTTTAAGGTGCTTTTAACATGATTTGAGGACGTGAGATCTGTCAAGCACAACAAATGCTGCGCGAGACATCTCTTACTCCCTCTTGTGGTCTTTTCTGAAAATAGTCACAAAAAACATCTTGACGCATGCTCAATCATCCAGGTAAGTACATCTCCACAAGTTGGTTCTGTTCATCTGAACGTTTTCTCCCACTGAAAACGCTACGTCCAGATGAACAGAATCAACTTTTGGAGAGTCACAAAAAACATTTCTGTGTTTGGTAACATCACTTCTAACAACTTAAAACCATTTCATTATAATCTTGTTACGGTCAATTACAGCACATACAGAAAAATCATCAACACTTTGAAAATAATTACCCTTTATTGAGGATTTCAGAACAGCTGCAAGTGTTTTATTTATTCTTTGTCATCAGCTGAAAAAAATAGTTTGGTTAGGAATGTGAAAACTGCTTCTACTTTAACAAACAACCAGGTGAGAGTTTAATAATTAGTAATTATGTTGCCATTTGTAGCACATGCGTAAAAGCCACATTCACTTTTATTGTGTGGAATGTAAAAATATTGAGATTTGGTACATTCAAACTAAACAGATATTAATCAAGTAGAACAGAGCACTGAGTCACTTCAGTGAGAGCAACACCAGCACTGTCTCCACTCTTTCACTCACCAAACCTTGAAATGAACAGAAGACCTGTTACATCTTAAACTGATATGGATTCAGATGGAAAATGTTTCTGACTCAGAGGGAAGTTACTTGTCAGCTCAGCATGTAGTTAGATGGCGGCCGGATGGTCGATGTAGTAAAGATGTTAAGTTGATACTGAGCCGTTGTACAGAAAGAGTCCACGTCCTTCCCTTTCCCAAAAATCCTTCCACTCATGTTATTTCTTCCAGCTGTCAGTTTCTTTAGTGGAGCAGTGTTAACAATCAAGAAGTTAACACTACTCCTCTCAAAAACCACAAAGTGGTTATACAAATCAGGGATGTGCGCATGAACTGCTAAGAAAAACAGACACTACACAACAAAAACATCAGTTTTTCCACTTTCCATCAAGTAGTGGCGTTTGTGCCAAAATACAACTCAATTTATATTAAAAAAAAAAGAAACAAACAAGGAAACACAGCTTTGACAAAAATAATCCACATGATCTCAACGTGAAAAGGCTTTTTTAACCGTTTGACCTCTTCTCTCTGTCTCTCCATCCCCTGTGCTGTAAGAAGTCTGTGCGCTCTGCAGCGCCTCACTCGTACTCCGCGATCAGCACCATCATGCCAACTCCGAACAGCAGGGCAAGAATTTCCATTAGAGACTGGCCGAAACTGGAGCGGCCCGCCAGCAGCTCTGGGAGCACCGTCACTGTGGCGATGTAAACGAACCCGCCAGCCGTGAAGGGCAGGATCCAGGCGGTAGCAGCGGCACCCACACCTTCAGCCAACAGCGAGCAAGCTGTCCCAGCCAGAGCTCCCAGAGCGGTCAGCAGCTGTAGACACATGGCCTGCAGGCAAGGAGGGAGAAGACAATGCTTCACTAATTTTCTATAGTTTTATATATATTTTTAAAAATCTTTTAAAGAGAACCAGAATATTTTGGTCCCCATTTTAATCCAGTATATAAATGTCTATTTTTTTGCACCACATACTAGGTAATCTGCACTAAAAATAAAAAATATATATATATTTAATTACTATTGAAAAAAATATTTTTTCTATTTTAAAGCTAAAACCAGAGATAGGAGTTTATTCAAATCTTACAATTAGCTTTAAATATGTTGCATATATTCCAAGAGTACAGCTGTCATACTGTGCATATATCAAGGGCTTTTATTGTGAAAGAAAAGTGCAAGAGGAAGCTTGTTTTGCATGTGTGGACCAAAGCAGCTTCCCTGTACATATCAGCAAAGAGCACAGCAGCATCACACAGTCAGGGTGAATTTGTACCAAAAATATTTGTTTGGCTTGTTTACTACTTTTTGTCCTTATCTGTACTCTAATTTTAATACCTGTACAGTACTCTGCTTTGGTAACTATTGTCCATGATGTAAATATGTAAAAATTGTGTGTGTTTCTGTTCCGTGTCTTGTTCTGTTTGTGTATGTGGTTTGGTTTTTTTGGTTTTTTACTGCTGATACAACCAAATTTACCCCTGTGTGACAACTGAAGGATTCGTCTATTCTCTCCATTTTCAGCACCACTATGGAGTTTTACAGTTTCACTCAGTTAAAAGCGCACTGAGAACTGTGCACAGAAATCCAAGGACTTTTTGGCCTCTATACTAAAATTCAAGAGTTTCATGGTTCAAAAGCACAGTTGCCAGCCAAACCACAGCAGGTTTTCCACTGTGTTTTATGGGGAAGGTGGAGCAGTGGCTTTACATATTTAATGACCTTGGATGCTGTTTGGGTTGTCATTTAGAGACTAAACTGACCACGAGACAAGATGTGTCAGTATGTGGGTGGATAACCATTTCCTGGTGAACACGCTTTACAGTTTAATTAGAAAACTGCATGTAGACAGGCTGTCTTTGTTTGAATAGTTCTTATTAATTCCTCCTTGTATGTAGTTGTTGTTTTCTGCTTGTTTATACTTTGTTAAGTATACTGACAAGTGTGTGTGTACACTGTGTCAACGACTTTGAGACTTTTTGCAGCTTTTTCATATTTGGTGGTTACCTTCCTCTTGGTGCAGCCAGACTGGACGAGGATGGCAAAGTCTCCGATCTCATGTGGGACCTCATGAAGCAGGATGGTGATGGTGGTGACGGTGCCCACAGCTGGACCAACCAGGAATGAAGCTCCAATTGCCAAACCATCAGTGAAATTATGTGTGAAGTCAGCTGCCAGGTTTAGGTAACCAGACACCTTGATATCTGCATTAGTGGAAGGAACAATAAAGACCCGAAGAATATGTAAAGTGTTTAGTGGCTCATGGATTGATGCAAACAATGAGCTTTTTATGTTTCAAGATTCCCACAAAAAAAAACATAAATAAGAACAACCCAAGAAAAATGTGAACATTCTTTCCACTGACACACACATTAAAAACTTGATTCCAAACAGATTTTGAAAGACCAAGAAAACATGTTTGCAGCTTGGTTCTGTTTTGTGTTACACACAGCTGATCTCTGAAGCTAAGCAGGGTCGGGCCTGGTTGGTACTTGAATGGGAGACTGCCTGGTACCAGTCTGTTCACCATCTCACATGTGAACATGTTCTGTTTTATCCTCAACTGCACATTTTTGCAGATTCCAGACAATCAAGAATCCAACCTCCGTGCCACGTTAATTCTATCCCAGTTCCATCTGAAGTGGGAATTTGGAAATTCAGAGTTCGCCAAAGGGGATTTTCCCCCTTAAAAAGTCAGAGCAGCCATACCACAACCCAACTTTACAATCCAAGATGGCAGCAGAATAAACAGTAGAAAATGTCATTTTTACTACCACTATTGTGTAGTTATGACTCGTAAAAATAAGCCACACACAGGCTGACGCACACAGTGACCAGGCTCTATCAGTGAACGTCCTGCAGCGGCATTTTTAAGAAGCTCAAAGAAGTGTGGGTGTGTGCAGGTTCAAATTCTGTTTGAAATCAGTTGCTTCAGCACAGTAACTACACTTCAGTGCTTCACCTGTACTCTTTTTCTCCTCTTTCTTTGATGGTTTCTGATCTTTGCTTTCTTTCTTCTCCTTCTTCTTCTTTTCTTTTTCCTCCTCTCCATCACTGTCCTTCTCTTTGGCAGCAACTGAAAAAGCCACACAGAACAAAGTTCAAAACACCTACAGAGAATATAGCTGGGAAATCTAGTGAACATGCAGTTTTACAAAAAACTTCTGAAATGAAAACAGCAACAAAATAACATTTACTACATGCAGGAATCTGGTTTTGTACACAACTGATCTTTCAGGGCAATTTAAAAGAGTTTGATCAAAAGAAGAGTTTCCTCCAGCGTACCGTGAGAGTGTCCATGGGAGTGTCCGTGGCCATGTCCTCCCTTCAGCAGACGCACAAATTTTTCCACCACTAGGAAAGCGATGATCCCACCGAGAACCCAAAGACCCACAGACATCATATGACCGTGGGCCGCTCCTATACAGGTAGGGAATAGGGAGCACTGCTTCATGAGCTCTGCTTGGCTTTAGAAACTTTTTCTTTTAAAATCACCGGCAAATAACCAGACAACACACTGGCAACATTAAAAAAAGGAAATCCCATTAATGCATACCGTGAGAGTGGCCGTGGTCATGCGACTCTTCAGTTGCATGCGAGTGTCCATGATCCCCATCTTCGTGATGTGAGTGGGGCTCTGTGCAAAACAAATATGACACGAGGAGACGTCAGAAAGACAAAGTGAGGATCGTGCTGCTCTGTTTTTCTCTCTCAGCTGTTTAACAAATCTAAAAGTTAAAACCAACAGAGACACCGAGCTGCTCATTTTACCATCACAGGCAATTATGGCTTTGACAGGAGTGCCAAAGCTGTAAAGGCACCAGTATACCCTCCGCATGGGTCGCGTAGCACGCCGCCGCAACATCATCACGCAGTCACTTCTATTTAGCCGCTGCAGTATTCTCCTGAACGACGGGTGTCGCCACTTCGACAATAACACCACATAAGTGCTGATACAGGAAGAGAAGAAGTCAAAACCAGACGCAAAGACTTTGCCCGACTACAACCTTACTTTTTTCCACAAAGTGTCATATTTTCTAACTGTTGCAACATCTCTCGCTGTATATATGCGTTTACTTTTTCAGTGCCCGACGTGCAAAATCACTGGACTGAATATCACTGTAATCAATTAAAAACTATTGTCTCTGTCATACGATCTTTGTGATTAAAGTGAGCATATTTGAAACACTTTATAAATACTTAAAACCTTCACTTACATAAACTTACAGTAAAAAA